GGGGGGGCCCGCAGCTCCCTCCCCGCCCCTCCGGGCGGCCGCCTGGGCTGCCGCAGGTTGTCTTGGCAACAGGAGGCGGAGAGGAGATGCGCTGAGGGATGGAGGTGTCTGTCACCGAGGAGGCTGCCGCGCTCCGGCCCCACGCCCCGGGCCCTTGAAGGTACCGAGAACCTCCCTGCCTCCCAGCTCGGGTCTCTCCTCCATGCTCACCTCCCGCCCCGGGCCCTGCAGCACCCCGGTGCCTCCTGCCCCTTGCCACCACCCTCCGGCTCCAGGTCCCTGTCCACCGTCCCGGTGCTAGCCGTTCCAGCCCGACCTCTGGGGACCCTTGCACCGGAAGACAATCTCCTGGGGTGGGGTCTGGCGGGGTGGGCATGCGGGGGAGGAGCCAGGTGGGCAGTCAGGCGCCCAGAGCTGAGGAGCCCAGTCCCTGGGGCCAGGTCTCCGGGAGGACAGGGTGGCAGGCCCTGAGTTCAGGGCAGCAGGGATGGGGTGCGGGACAGAGGGGCAGGGGTGTGGAGACCAGGCCTGGGTAGCTCCTCCTCCAGGGCTGGGCCCCCGCCTGCCCCATTAAAGGCGCACCCCCATCACTCTCCTGGCCTGTCCTCCGCGGTTCTCTCTGCTCCTTCCACAGGCCCCCAGCCCCCAGCAGCAAAGCCTGGACCCTCTCCCCTTCTCTGCTGCGGTCTTCACGTCCCCTCCCCGTCTCCCACCAGCACCCCCCTGTCCTCCTCTCTGAGAAAGGCCTTGAGGCACTCTCACCTGGCCCCCCCAAGACCCTCCTGCAGAATCTTCCATTTGAACACCCCAGAGCCCCCTCCCCAGGTTCTAGATTTCCCCAACGGCAGCTGATACCATCGGCTCGGCTGCAGGCCGTTACCAGGGCAACGGCCAGGGCTGCTAGGTAGGCAAGTCTGGGAGGTGGAGGGGAAGGGGGCCAGCGAGGTCCGCGGGCAGGTCCACGGGCAGGGCAGGGTGCGGTCCCCCGCCCGGATGCAGCAGGAGGCAACGTTAGGGCCTGGCTGAGAGGGCAGCCCCCTGAATTCGGCACAGGGACCTGGGGGTCACCTGGCCGGAAGCCACTTTTTCATGAAGCTGCTCTGGGGAGAGCAGGGGCTCTTCCTCTCCTCGTGCCCCGTGCACTGCCCGGGACGTCAGGGTCTTGGACCAGCCAGAGTCCCTGGTACTCAGGGCCAGGTCCTAGTGTCCTTCACCTGTCCCTTCCGGGAGAGGGCTGGCCCTGGGACGGCCAGTTCTCCACCTTCTGTGTGCACCCCACTCCAGAGGCTGGGACCCCAAGGGTCAGTGCTGCCAGGTGATGGGTGGTGGTAGGAGAAACCAGGCATTGGGCCCCCCGGTTGTCAGTAACCACCGCCAACTTCAACTCTGGCTGTTTAGGAGGAGGCTTGAGGGGCTGCGTGTGCGTGTGCGTGTTGCAGGGCTGGGGTGTGGGGCAGGGAGAAAGGACAGCGCTCTCCATTCTGCTTCGTCATGATGCCGGTTAATGCTCCTCTTGTTTGAAATGGATTGAGCTGCAGGGCCGAGGTGGGAGAGCACACGCCCAGCAAACACGCCCTGGCCGCCACTATCAGCCAGAGCTGGGGACAGGCAGGGAGGTGCGGGGGAGCCGGCAGCCCGCCCTCTGCCCACCCGCACCCACCAGACGCACACTCCCCTGCGGCTGGGGGCTCCAGGCGGCAGCA